ATATTTGGTACAGAAGCCTTTGTCTGCAATTACAGAGGTTCAGACGTTTCCTGTAGTTCCTGACCAGGTTTGCACTGCAACAGGGATTTTGGCCCCCTCCTCCACACAGATCTCCTCTAGATCTGTCAGGTTTCGGGGCTGTCGCTGAGCAACACGGAGTTTCAGCTCCCTCCAAAGATGTTCTATTGGATTTAGGTGTGGAGACTGGCTAGGCCACTCCAGAACCTTGATATACTTCTTACAGAGCCACTCCTTGGTTCTCCTGGCTGTGTGCTTCGGGTCGTTGTCATGTTGGAAGACCCAGCCACGACCCATCTTCAATGCTCTGACTGAGGGAAGGAGGTTGTTGCTCAAAATCTCACAATAAATGGCCCCATTCATCCTCTCCTTAATACAGTGCAGTCATCCTGTCCCCTTCGCAGAAAAGTACCCCAAAAGCATAATGTTACCACCCCCATGCTTCACAGTAGGGATGGTGTTCTTGGGATGCAACTCATCCTTTTTCCTCCAAACACGACGAGTGAAGTTTAGACCAAAAAGTTCTACTTTGGTTTCATCTGACCACATGACTTTCTCCCATGCCTCCTCTGGATCATCCAGATGGTCATTGGCAAACTTCAGACGGGCCTGGACATGTGATGACTTGAGCAGGGGAACCTTCCGTGCAATGCAGGATTTGAAACCATGACGGCGTAGTGTTCTACCGACAGTGACCTTTGAAACTGTGGTCCCAGCTCTCTTCATGTCATTGACCAGCTCCTCCCTTGTAGTTCTGGGCTGATTCCTCACCTTTCTTATCAGTGATACCCCACAAGGTGAGATCTTGCATGGAGCCCCAGTCCGAGGGAGACTGACAGTCGTCTTTAGCCTCTTCCATTTTCTAACAATTGCTCCAACAGTTGATCTATTTTCACCAAGCTGCTTGGTCAGAATACAACCAGTTGCACAGCTCCCAATATATACAGGATGATGTCTTTTGGCACACTGACTTATGAAGGTTGGTGCTCCCTGTGACTGTGCGTGCAGCCTTGTGCTGCCATCTGTTGGCATCTGAAAACTGGTCTGAAAACCTTTTGATACCACCTCGTACATGCTTATAATGTGGTTCTTGTGTTATGAAAGCCATTCTCTGTTGACTGTAAGTCCGGACATAGACAGTCCGAATCTCGGCTGGTTCAGCAGGAACCGACTGAGATTCAAACCATGTATGGGCAGGCTTAATGTACCTATGTTGATTGATCGTTCAGCCTGGGATTATACAATAGTTGATTTGTGTGATACACAAGATATGTCGTCATTGTGGTATCATCATACTCAGAAGGAGTAGGTGGGTGTTTACACTGTCCTAGTGACCCAGGGCCTCCAAAAATGAAGTGATAGATGGTCAGAAAATGTGATGTCTAAATTATGCCCCTGGAATGCCTGAAGGTACTCCTTGGAGTCTGGGCCTCTCTACGTGCCTTGTCTTTGAAAAAGTTTCACACATGTGGTATCACCATACTCAGGAGAAGTAGCAGAATGTGTTTTGGGGTGTAATGCAAGTATGGCTATTATGTGTGTTAGAAATATCTTAATAATTGACAACTTTGGGTCAATTACATTTTAATTTTTTCCCTGCATTTTCTAAAAACTTGTGGCAAAAAAATTACATTTTCAAAAGAATCATGCCTTTAGGAAAACAACATGGAGTGTTTACTTCCAAAATGGGATCATTTTGTGGGTGTTTCCACTGTCTTGGTGCTCCCAGGCCTCCAAAAATGTGATAGGTAGTCAGGAAATTGGATGCATTATTTAAAATATGTGTAATCTATCTTCCTTGAAAGCCCAAATGTGCTCCTTGGATTTTGGGCCCCTCTGTGCATCTAGGCTGTTATAAAGTACCATATGTGTGGTATCCCCATACTCATGAGGAGTAGCAGAATGTGTTTTGGGGTGTAATTATAAGTATTCTGTGTGCTGTGTGTGAGAAATAACGTGTTAAAATGCCAATTTTGTGAAAATAACACATTTTATTTAATTTCTTTATTTTCCAAAAAATTATGACAAAAAAATTACAACTTCAAAAAACCTCTTGCTAAATACCTTGGACTGTCTACTTTCCAAAAAAGAGGTCATTTGGGGGGTATACGTACTGTTCTGGCATTTTAGAAATGTGACAGGCCATCAGTACATCATGGCGGAGCTAATTTTCAGTATATATGCCATAGTTTGTGTAACTTTCACACAGACTAAATATTATACACTGATTTGGGTTATTTTTACCAAAGAAATGAAGCAGAAACACATTTGGCCTAAATTTATGAAGAAAAGATTATTTATTTGCAACATTTTATAACAGAAACTAAGAATGTGTGTTTTTTTCAAAAGTTATGTTATTTTTTTGCTTATTGCCAAGAAATAAAAAAAAACCCAATGGTGTTAACCCCTTGACGACGACGTAACACAAATATGCAGCCTCACGGAACTGGACTTTTTTCCGTGGGGCCGTATATTTGTGTACCTGTCTTTGTGCTGGGAGCGCGCCGCACTGCGCGCTCCCAGCACAATGACCGAGGTGTCACTGAAAGCCCCGGGTCCCATTCTAATGATAGATACCCGGAACTTCCGATTCCGGGTCACATGATCGCTCTGATAGCCTCTGATTGGCTATCACAGTGATCAGTCACTGTACAGCCCGGCCCCCTTGGTTTTTTTTTTTCTCTCTCTATGAATGGAGGAGAGAGATACATTGTATCTCTCTAACTCCTGGCATAGAGGGAAATAAAACAAATTTTGTTAAATAAAAAAAAAAAAGAAAAATAAATATTAAAAAATAAAAAAAAAAAAAAAAAACACCTAGATCTAGTTCAGTGCCAGGGTAAGTGTTTGGGTCAAGGCCAAAGGTCAAAAGGTCAGGATCGAAGGTCAGGATTTTTTAAAAAAAATTGGTATTAGTGTCAGTTAGTGTCAGTGTCGGTGTGTTTTAGGTAAACAAAAAACAAAATGCGCACTATTGTTTCTGGGCTGTACTACGGATACAAACAACAAATAACATACACACATATGGTATCGCTACAATCGTCAAGAGTTGGAAAATTTATTTTGGGTTGTCCTTTGGTGGTAGGTGATGGTAGTAACAAGAAACACACAGCTCAATTTTAAAAAAATTTGTTTTTTTTACTATTTTGGGCCAGTTTTCCTTTGATAATAAAAAAAAACCAGGAGATATCCATTAACATTTATCACCAAATGAAAGCCCAATTTGTCCTGAAAGAAACGCGGTATAATTCACCTGGATGTACAAAGTAGTTGTGATGATATGGACAGTTTTACTAACACATGTCAAGGTTGCAAAATTGTGCTTAGGCATTAAGATTTGTTTTACCCTTAGGCGTGAAGGGGTTAAATACCACCTAATGAAAGCTCTATCTGCCTAAAAAAAAATGGTCCAAATGTAATTTGGGTGCAGTATTGTATGACTGAGTAATTGTCATTCAAAAAGTGACAACGCTGAAAGCTGAAAAAATGGACCTGGGCAGGAAGGGGATGAACGTGTCCACCTTAGTCTTGAAGTGGTTAAAAAAAAAAGAAAAACAGTGCATGTTATTGCAAAATACTAAATTTTTCTGTACTTTACTTGCATTTTTAAGATTTTTTCTCTTTAATGACTGTTGAGATAAGCTACAATAGGAGCAGCAAATCTACGGCTTTCAATCACAACTGACCCATAGACTTGTGCCAAGAGAACAAAAAAAAAGCACAGACACAGTGATAATGCAGGGCACAAATCTGAAAGCAGATCCTCAACATGTCATGGTCAACTATGGTTGCCCCGTGTGCATAGTGTATATATATGATCCTAAAAATGTATTCTTTTGTGAATAATTTGCAATTATTCACACTGTGTGTATATATATATATATATATATATATATATATATATATATACATACATACATACATACACACATACATACATACATACACACACCGTGAATAATTGCAAATTATGCACAAAAGAATTGATTTTTTAGGATCACTTACACATTCACATCTACTTAAAAACACTATATATTGTCTATATATATATATATATATATATATATATATATATATATATTTATTTTATTTATTGATTTTATTGATTTTTTTTGAATATATATATATATATATATATATATATATATATATATAGTGTTTTTAAGTATATATAATATATATATATATATATATATATATATATATTTTATTATACACACACATCTACTTAAAAACACTATATATTGTGTATATATATATATATATATATATATATATATATATATATATATATTACATATATTTATTTTATTGCCTTTTTTTGAATATATATATATATATATATATCTATATATATCTTTTATTACACACACACACATCTACTTAAAAACACTATATATTGTGTAGGTATGTATGTATATATATATATAAAATAATTTATTTTTTTTAATATATATATATATATATATATATATATACACACACATATAGAAAATGTAATTTATATATATATATATATATATATATATATATATAATAAATATATATATACACACACACAGCATGAATAATTGCAAATTATTCACAAAATAATTGATTTTTAGGATCACTTACGCATTCACATCTACTTTCAAACACTGTCAAATATATTACTTTTCTTTAACAATCTCAATTCTCTGTGATGCAGCTGTTTGGGTTTTGGTCCACAACTAAAAGTTTAAATATATTGAATGAACTTCCCAAATGTAATAGTCTTGGAAGATGGTGTCATAAGTGTTTGACGTGTCATAAGTGTGTCAGATGTGTTTTCTGTTGGCCGACGCCATGAAAAAAAATGGACCCAATTTGCCTCATTTGTTAGCGATGTCAATTTCCAGCAAATTCACAGTCGTCTTTTGTCCAACGCTCTGAGCTTTTGTTACATCTGACAATCGCCTTAAGAGTCTGTCTGAAGGATGGACATGGAGGGCCACGAAGTAGGCTCAGAGGAATGCCCAGGCTTCGATGCTGTGGACGCGGAATTGCTCCTTAGTGGACAGTATGAGGTTGTTGAAAGTGTCGCACCTCTGACTTCTTCCGTTATACAAGTCTCCATCCAGCCACAGGCCAAAATGTCCACTGTGAAGGAAACAACAGGTAAGTATAGTTGAAAAAGTTACATATGGCAAAAATAAATATATTTTGTCTTCCATAAGCACTTTGGCATACTCACTATTTGCCTCCTCCGAATGTCAAGGACTGGACATCCCCTCTGATAAAAAACGTGTTGTCCCCTGTCCACCGGAAGACCTTCAACAGAACATATGCAGCATGTCAATGATAGATTTTACATTTAATGTCCAATTTTTGTAGTTTCGGATAAGTGCTTGAAACAATTGAGTCCTGTCCATGATACTTTTTTATTTGCACTAACATACAATTTTCAGGACAAGCTTTCAGGGTATGTCCCCTTCTTCAAGGTCCAAGCAGTACTACTTCACAAAGTTTAGGCTCCATGCACACTGGATGTTTTTTTAATAATGCTGGTAACCAGGGGCGGACTGACAATTTGGAAACTCGGGCACTGTCCGAGGGCCCGGGGTGAGTAGGGGGACCCATTAGATGCCCCTGGTACCTTTTTCATAGGCTTTTTTGAGTTTGGGCAAGGGCACAGGGGCCCCATGATCCCCTATTGCCCGGGGGTCCCATGAGTTGTCAGTCCGCCCCTGCACTATACACCTGGATCTGGATCTGACTATTGGGGTGCAATGGAATGATTTGAAAGGCTCCAACCACTGTCCAAAATGAGAAGAAATCCTCCTATTTGGGGATATGTGATGGAAGTTCCTTCTGATCTACGAAGACTTTACTCTGCTGTATAGTGCTGGTGAAAAGTCCTCATTTCCAGCTCCAATAAATGACACATGAAAAGTCCTGAATATATCAGACAAACCTTTGTACTGAATACATTTTTACAGTCTAGCTGACGTCTTTGAAATCTCGAGTTCTGATTAATTAGTCAGATTTCCAGAGATAAAAAGAAACTTTCCCCCTCTGTACAGTATGTCTAAGCCGGGGCCGGGATAAAAAGTGATAAAAAGTGACGTGACATTTATTATTTGCTCTAAAACAGTAAAGCAGAACTCCGGGCAAACATCCGAATCCACGGATGAAATGCATATACCTGTAAGAGCATTTATAGGTCTGTCCATCCAGTCTTGAGATTTACACAGCTCTGGCACAAAGCACAGCCCTGACTGCCAGAGCAGGGAAAGAAAAAATACCAGTTCACTTACCAACCAGCCTGCAGCCAACCGAATTGTCCTGTCTAACAGGTTGCATTAAAACAGGGGTTTGGTTTGCACATATTTGCACGCGGAAGCTGCAGAGCCTCTTCACGGCACCCCAGTATTTTCTGCAGTCCTAACTTCTACTATGGAGGCTCTCAAAATGATAGAGTTAGGACTGCAGGAGCAGAAAAAAAGATTGTTTTTATAATTTTTTAGAGCATTTTTCCAGCATAGAAAAATGCTAAACGCTCGTAAAAACTACTAAAACTCTCCTAAGAGCTTTTTTCTAGCTTTTTTTTTTTCTACATGTACTGTAAAAATGCTAATAAAAACACTGACCGCCCTAAATGCTCCTAGATGCTTCTAAACGCTACTAAAAAATGCTACTAAAAAACGCTATTACCAGCGCTTTTTTTTTCCAGTGTTTTTTGAGCTTCGGCATCTAGGAGCAGAAAAAAGATGCTAATAAAACACTGACCGCCCTAAACGCTACTAAAGAATGCTATTACCAGCGCTTTTTATCCAAACTTTTTTGAGCTTCAGCAACTAGGAGCAGAAAAAAAAAATTGTTTTTTTAGAGCATTTTTCCAGCAGAAAAAAATGCTGAGCGCTCATAAAAACTAGAGCTTTTTTCTAGCTTTTTTTTTATCTACATGTACTGTAAAAATGCTAATAAAACACTGACCGCCCTAAATGCTCCTTCATGCTTCTAAACCTGACTAAAAAATGCTATTACCAGCACCTTCTACCCAGTGTTTTTTGAGCTTCTGCATCTAGGAGCAGAAAAAAAATGTTTTTGTAGAGTAGAAACATAAATGCTAAACACTTGTAAAAGCTACTAAAACTCTCCTAGGAGCTTTTTTCTAGCTTTTTTTTTTTCTACATGTACTGTAAAAAATGCCCAGTGTTTTTTTGAGCTTCGGCATCTAGGAGCAGAAAAAAAAATGTTTTTGTAAAGTAGAAAAAATAAATGCTAAACACTCGTTAAAGCTACTAAAACTTTCCTAGGAGCTTTTTTCTAGCTTTTTTTTTTTGTCTACATGTACTGTAAAAAATGCTAATAAAACACTGACCGCCCTAAATGCTTTTAAACGCTACTAAACAATGCGATTACCAGCGCTTTTTTGTCCAGTATGTTTTTCAGCGTTACTTATGTTTTGGCGACTAGGAGCAGAAAAAAAAATGTGTTTTTTAGAGCGTTTTTCCAGCAGAAAAAAAATGCTAAACGCTGACGCTCCTAAATGCTACTAAAAAAAAAAAACTATCGCCAGCGCTTTTTATCCAGTGTTTTTTTCAGCATTTTTTGAGCTAAAAAAAAAAACGCCAGTGTGCTTGGAGCCGCATTGGTTTCTGTTAACCAAGAAAAAAACATTTACCTTTAGCTGTGGTGAAAAGCTGAACAGAAAGGTTTCTCCGGTTCCGTAGAAACTAGAGCTAAGCTTGAGCTCATTGGAAGAGAAGCCACCAAACACCTGCAAGAGATTTATGAAAGGGTCAGATCACCTTTCAGAGGGTAAAGTGCCTGAGGTGGGCAGCATTGCAGGACCGGTCGCATGGATGGAGGAAGCCTGCAGCGGCCAGGAATCGGGAAGGTATTACACCTTATCCCTGCACTCCTAGGCTAAACAAGAATTTAAAGCAGGGGGTGCTCAACCTGTGGCCCTAGGAGCCGCCTGATGTGGCCCTCCACCTCAAGCCAGGGAAGTGCATGCCTGGGGTCGGCTACCCGTTGATTGCGACCTGGGCATCGCAGAGCATCAGAATGCTTAGTGGGGGCCGGCATAGAGAAGACCAGATCCCATCTAGTTTCCTCCTGCAAAGCCGGCTTCTCCTCTCCTCCCTCCAGTTGGCATTTACTGGCTGCAAGAGGAAAATGTTCTTCAGTATGCTATTCAAAATAAAAAAATGTGAAATTCTGAATCGCTTGATTTCACTGTGGCCCGTGACCGCATCCCCTAAGCGTCCCTCCCTCTTCAAAAGGTTTCAAGCACCCCTGATTTAAAGAATATGTTTACCCCAACATTTCATGTTCCTGATATGTGACTGTTGTAGCATGCACCTGTGCTAAAAAGCATCCTGCTTTGTATTGCTTCCTGGTGATCCTGCCAGCCCCCCCCCCCCCCGCGTTACTATTTCAAACTGACCACACTAGGCATGGAAACGCATCCATCTCAGAGTGGTCAGTTTTCTGGCTGTGCTGGGAGAACAGCCTTCCTATCCTTCAATGATCGGACTTGTGCTAACACACCCCCTGCACAGCTATTCACTGGGAAGAGCAGTGTCCTGCTGTTTCTTCACCCACACCTCTCTAACCCCCTTATGCAGCTGAGAAGAGAAATTACATAATCCCTTATGAAAAGAGAAAAAAAATGAATGTATTTTTATATATATATTATTTATTTCAGGTACTTACATAGTGCTGGCAGTTTTACGCAGCACTTTACATATATATTTGTACATTCACATCAGTCCCTAACTCTCAAGGGGTGTACAATCTAAGGTCCCTAACCCTCAAGGGGCGTACAATCTAAGGTCCCTAACCCTCAAGGGGCGTACAATCTAAGGTCCCTAACCATCAAGGGGCGTACAATCTAAGGTCCCTAACCCTCAAGGGGCGTACAATCTAGGTCCCTGTCCCCCCTCAAGGGGCGTACAATCTAAGGTCCCTAACCCTCAAGGGGCGTACAATCTAAGGTCCCTGACCCTCAAGGGGCGTACAATCTAAGGTCCCTAACTCACATTCATACATACACATACCAGTGCCAGTTTACACAGGAAAACCAATTCATCTACCAGCATGTCTTTGGATACAGTATGTGTATATATATTGTGGGAACTCGCTTCAACGTGGTAGAGCTTTTAAACGCAAAACAGCTACTCGCTTTCTTTTTCAGGGCCTTTTTTAGCCCACTTTTATTTAAATGAAAATGTCCCATAACATAATGCTTCCCACGCAGGGGTATCCACCAACAAAACAAAGATTCAGCCTCCTGGCTTACACACAGTTCAATGTCTGTCTCCTGCAGACTTCTTCCAAAATATGGCACTTGCACACCGCTGGCGTCTAGCACACAGCTAGTCTCTAGCAGCCCCTTGCTGCTTTGGCTCCCACCTCTCCCTAGGCTGAAAGCCCACCTGACTCCTATCTGCCGGGGTGGAGCCCATGAACCTGGTTCTGACCTACAAAAGAGCCGTGCACACTGTGCAATCAGTGTAATGGCCATTCCAAAACCTGGTCCCAGGATTGGAGATTTCATTCCTCCCAGATCTCTTTGAATCTCCAGGCTCCAGATCCCAAAACAGACCTTACAAACAAAGGAGGAAATTGAAAAAGCACTTTCCTGCCGTATCGAACCTTTACCTGGAGCCCCCTCAACTGCCTAGTTGAGAATCTCTGGAGTGACCGATGGCCACTGTCACAAATATATATATATATATATATATATATTATTATACACACAGTTGTGATTCCAACATAATAGCAGTCAGACATCACAAACCCGGGACAATCACTTTTTTTGGGTTAAAAATTAAAATTTACATGGCAAAAAAATTTATAGCGGGTGCAGGGGGGCTAAAACTCAGGGGCCCCCGGGCATAGAGGAATGGGCCCCTTTTTTCCTTTTGCCCACATCAAAAAAACCCCCCCAAAAAACCAAAAAAAAGGTACCAGGCATTTCAGGGGGCCCCCTACGCCCCGGGCCCCGGGCAGTGCCCAGTCTAAAAAAGGGTCAGTCCCCCCCAACAGGTGAGTGAGTAATAGAAATCCAACAGCCCCAACAGTCATACATGCATGCGCGATTCTGTGTCTTTGAATCACCTTTGAAAGGGGCATGTTCAAAATAATGGGGCCCGTGGAGTTCTTTTTGTGAGGTCATTCTTTCTTTGAAAAACGGGTGGCAATTTTTCCCCTTTTTTAAAGGGAAGGAAAGGGCAGCAAATTTTGGACATCTGGTTAAAAGTGCATTTCTCCTGAAATTCGAGGAAAATGGGTCGTTCCAAACATTGTTCAGAAAAACAGCGTACCTTAAAAAAAAGATTGGGAGGGGGAAAAAAAAAAATTGCGAAAAGATCGGGCTGCCAGCAAAAATACGAAAAAGCTTCAAAAGGAAACCAAAACCCTGAAAGACGTGGAAGAAAGCGAAAAAACCCCTTTGGAAGGGAAGAAAAATAGCCAAAAGGGGCCGCAACTCAGCCAACAATCACCCAAAAGATGAAAAAGGTGGTGACTTTTCCCCTGTGAGGACTGTTCAATTTTAAGACGCCTATTGAACCCCAAAATTTTTGGGGGGTGACATCAAAATCCCCGTTTCTGAGGCAAAACCAAGAAAAAGAGAAAATTTGGGGGAATTTGGCCCAAAACACCGGGGCGGAATACCTTACACAGGGCCAGAAGTTGGGTGACTCCATGCAAACAGATTACAGAGTTCTCAAAACATGCGACTAAAACCAAATATTCATGAAGTCATTTAAAGGAAAGCAAAATCTTCAAACATTTTTCAGTTTATAATGAATGTTTGAGTTTTTAAGAAGAAAACAAACCGTGCGATTTTTTTTGAACCGCTAATGTTCCTTTTCTTTTAATTTTTTTTTTGAGGGAAAAACACAAATTTTTTTGTATTTTTTCTTCATGTTTTGATTTGGGAAAAAATGTGTTTTTCCCAAAGCATTTGTGGGATGGGGAAATAAAACTATTAGAGGATTTTAAAACTTTTTTCACATTTTTAAACACAGCTTTTTTCTGAACACAACTGTATATATACACTATATTGCCAAAAGTATTGTCGGCCTGCCTTTCCACCACATAAATTTTGGCCCCCAGTCTTTTCCGTTGGTTCAATTTGAGTGGCCCCCCCCCTTTGCTCTATAAAAGCTTCAAACTTTCTGGGAAGGCCGTCCACAAGGTTTAGGAGGGTGTCTTGGGAAAGGGGTTGGACCATTCTTCCAGAAGCACATTTGTCAGGTCAGGCACGGGGGTTGGGGGGGAGGCCTGGCTCCAGTCTCCCTCTAATTCACCCAAAGGGTTTTATGGGTTGAGGGGCAGGACTTGGTGCAGGACAGCAAGTCCCCCCCCCCAAAGGCTCCTCCTGTTTTTGGACCTTGCTTTTGCACGGTGTGCAGTCATGTTGGGAAAAGGGAAAGGGGCCCTCCCCAAACCCTTCCCACAAAATTGGGGAAAAGAAATTGTCCCAAAATGCCCCGGATAAGGGCCTTTATTCCCTTACGGAACTAGGGGGCCAAGCCCAACCCCCGAAAAAAACCCCACCCAAATCCCCTTCCACCAAACTTTCACTTGGCACAATGT